TAAATATATATATATATATATATATATATATATATGTGTGTGTGTACATATATACAGTGGTGGACTGGGTCTAAAAATATTGATTACCAGGAAACAAAGGAGGACCACCCACAGCTACAAAACTATCATTTAATTTTCATAATGAATAAATAAAATTTTCAAAAATTATAAAAATTTACAAATTCTTTTAATAACAATAATACATAGACTGTACATTTATTTTTTTAAAGAATAGATACCAAATATAAATACAGGTTGTTATTTAATTTTTTTAATTTTAAGTAATTGGTTGGTATTTTTAAAAAGTTTATTGCACAATTTTCACATTAAAAGATAATTGAAAAGTACTATACAGTATTACATGTAGTCCACTAATATTAAGAGCAATAGTTTGTGTTTGCTAGATGATCACTTGAATCTACCAATAATTGCTACTGCATCCAATTCATCTAACAATTTCTTTTCAGTGGATAGCAACATGTATGATTCCAAATTAGAAAATTTCTTAACCATGTCTTTATGATCATTACATTTGAAAATGTCCTCAGACATTAGACTTGAGTAACTGATATTGTGCAGATGACTTTCTAAATTTCTTATTCCTTTTTGATATTTACACTATATTGTTTGGACAATTATCCAACATCTTATTGCCATATTCATGATCTTTTGGCTGTTGTACACTTCGGCCTTCTTCAGATGATTGGAATTTTGAACTGAACCCTTTTATTTCATCCACTGGCGTAGATTGTTCTCATACCACATGCCATGCCTCTTCTGGATGCCTCAATTATCTCTCTTTAACTCAACTCTCCAAGTTTGTGTTCACCACTGCAGTAGCTAGGTATTGAACTCACAACTCTTTGGGTCAAATCACTGGATCCAAGCAACACTTTTATCCACTGGGCCATGTGCCCTAAGGAAGGCCAGAGTGTACAATGGCTGAAATGTGAATATGGCAACAAAGATGAGGACAACAGTCCAAACAATGTAAATAGTGTAAATACTTACAATGCCTCATCCTTTTTATTACTAAAATAGTTGTCTGTGTTTGTTACTTTATTGCATTTTTATTTGATATAGGAGGCCCACTTGCCAATTTAATCCTGACAAAAAGCCATCCAACATATAAAAAAAAATGGTCTTAGAAAAGAAAAAAATATATTTGTTTTTGGCAAGTTTCCAATACAGTAATCGTTTGAAAGTTAAAAATATATTTTTTAGGGAAAGACAATGATCTATATTTTTTTTTTCTTGAAATATTTTTTCATGTTTGGATAATAAGAATTAATTTATATTTTAGAGTATTTCTTGTGTATAATTATTTTCATTTATTTTAATGAGAATATAAATAATTTAAATGCACACACACACACACATATATATATATATATAAAATACTGTAAATTGATGTCACAACTCAGTTTTGTGCCTTCTGCAATCATCAGGTGCATTTTTTGGGGCATTAACACTGGTTATTTAATATTTCTGCTTATCACAAGATATTTTATTGTTAGCATGGATTATTATTATTGTTAATTAATGAATTTTAGTTTAATTTTGGATTTGAATTTAGGTCAAAATTAATATTTAAGATTGAAAATAAGTTACAGATTCTAATTTAAAAACAGATGCTGTTGTTATTAAAAGGAAAAACATTTGAATATCAAGGGAAGTAAATTGCCCATTTTATCAGAATTGTTGATAATTTTATCTGATTGCTTGATGGTGGCAATGTCTTTCTACATTTTTTTTTGGGGGGGGGTTATTAGTGGTGTTTGTGAAAATAATCTTATTAATAACAGGTGGTCTTTACAGAAAACCATTGGAAATCACACTTGTACCACCACCAAATGACATTAGGCAATATCAAATATAGTAACAGCACTTCTCTCTCTAAATTTTCCTGGAAACTGAAATGTGAGAATAAAAACCCAACTATCACTTGGTAATCCATAACAAAAGCTAAACTCTTCAATGGGAAAGATGACAAATGTAACTTAACTCTTTCTGAAAAACTAATGATACTAAAAAAAATTATGAGCAATCCTAATCTATTAAACAAAATAAATTAGTTAATGAGCAACTGCCTACATAGAACCAAATTTTTACTCAAATACGTTGACCCAGATTAATATAGTCTAGCTGGGCCTGGGGACCACAAATACTAGTATTGATATTATTTATTTTTATTAATATTTTTACTATATTATTTTTGTTATCTTTACTATACAACTATTGTTATTATTAGACTGTAAGGCATTTAGCATTTATGCTAATCTATTATTTTCATTATCTTATTATTACCATTTTTACTATATAACCATTATTATTGTTTTTTCTTACTTTTACCTTTAGTCATACTACCAGAAATGTTAATCATTATGTTTATTTATTTATTTATTTTATTTTTATTTCTTATTTATTTACATATATATATGTTTTTATTTTATTTTCATTCATATGTATTATTTTTACTAGTATATTAATTTTATTTTATTACTACATATTTTATTATTATTAATATTGTGTTTATTAATAATATTATTCATTTCTTTACTGATTTTCATTCAACAAAATAGATTTACCCCCCCTCACATGATTTCCAAATGTTTTATCCTTTTGATACCAACAGTATCAGTTTTTAAATTAGAATTTATAATTCTTGTTTTCAATCTTATTTTCAGTCTTAAATGTTAATCTGGACCTAAATTCAAATCCAAAATTAAACTACAATTCATTTAAATAATTAACGGCAATAACAATCCACCTTAACAATAAAATATGTCACGATAACCAGAAATATTAAATAACCAGCATTAATTCCAAGAATTGCACCTGACGATTGCAGAAGGCACAAAACTCTGAGTTGTGCAATCAGTGTTGGGTATTATGCATATTTTTTAATATATTAAATAGCTCTGTTATTTAACATTGAGCACTTTTTTCTTACACTATAAGGTAATATATATATACATATATATATATATATATATATATATATATATATATATATATATATATATATATATATATAAAAAACAAACCTTGTACATTTAATTATATTTATTCATTTGAGTATATGATTTTATTAGTGATTATAAATAGAACTTTAAGATGATCATTATCAGACTAAAATTAAATCAAACAATGGAATGGATTATTGAAAATCAATTGACATTTTTATGTTGATATATTTGGAATTTCAATTGGAATACAACTGCTTAGTGTCATGGTCATTTATTTAATCATATTTAGTACAGGGTGTGATGGATAAATTGTCATCTAAATTAAGCGAAAATGAAATTAACATTGATATTTCATTTTACCAGCTATATTTAACAAAATTGCACAAAAATATCTTCAAATAGTAAAGAATAAATTTATTCAATAAAATCTCCATTGGCTTTGACCACAACCTCCAGGTGACATTAGAATCTCCTGCAACACTTCTGGATGGTCTCTTTGTTTAAGTTGATGAATGCTTCTATAATCCTTGCCTTCAGTTCATCTTTGGTATTACAAGGACTTTTTTGTTGGTCTCTCACTCAACTGTGTCCCAGACATAATTATCAAGTGGGGTGCAGTTTGGGGAGTTAGGTGGCCGGATGTAGGGGGTGATGTGGTCACATAAATTGTCTGACAGCCATGACTCTGTTCTCCTGGTTGTGTAGCATGGTGCAGAGTCCTGTTGCCAGACATATGGTCTGTGTGAGCTTGTTGTTTCTTACCAATTTTTTTTAATTGTGAAATATCTATACAGATAAATGTGAAATTAGAACCCAAATCCCTCATGAATTCTGATGTTTAAATATTCCAACTCTATTTTATAGTAATTTGGAATTTACTTGACATCCCCCCTAGCTCTGCCCCCAAGAAGTTGCATTGTGACACAAGGTCAGTTTAATGTGAGGAGCCCGAGCACATCCACTAGGCAAGGAATAAAAATTGACAGCCAAACACACTGAAATGTTCATTGAGTGCATAGAAAAAATGTCAAAAAATTGACAGCTAGCCACTCTGAAATGTTCGTATTGGAACTTCTGGCATGAATGCCAAGCAGTACAGCGTGCCATTTTCTAAATTTTTGGTGGATTGAATTGTGTCATGGTGCTCTATTTCTCCCAGATGGTGTACTATATTGTGTGGTTGACAAAATCAAAAACAATGTGCATGAGCAAAATAAAAAATATAAAATGACAACAATTCAACCATTGCACTCTGTACACACACACACATGCGCACACATTGTGTGGCATGGTACAGCCACCCTCTTAACTTAGGGCAAGCACTACCACCTCAAGGCACTTGATGTAGACCTCTGTGTTGTGTCTGAGGCCCTGTGGGAAGATGAATGGAGGCATAACATTACCATCACTGGTGATCACTCCAAACACGAATGATGTTGACTGGATATATCATTTCTTTCCAAATTCTATGCACTGTCCTCAAATTGACAGCCAAACACTCTTAAATGTTTGTATTGGAGCTTCTGGCATGAATGCCAAGCAGTACAGCGTGCAATTTCCAAATTTCTAGTGGAGTGAATTGAGTCATGGTGTTCTTTTTCTCACAGATGGTGCCCAACTGACCCTACTATATTGTGCAGTTGATAAAATCAAAAACAAACAACATTCATCTGCAAAATGAAAAATATAGAATGGCGACAATTCACCCATCTCACCTTGTAATTGTTTTTCAAATGAGAATTATTAACCTCATTTATAGTTGTGCAGTTAACTAATTTTTATGGCAACTTAAAAATAAACAAAACATTATCTACATCAACTTAGTCCATCTTATATGACATACTGTTCTGATAGTCAAACATTTCACATAGTGGTTTTGTGTTTTGGTAGGAGCCAGATGAGTTTTCATTTTATCTCCAATATTAAACAGATTCCTAGAATTTGTGATAGATGACCTTTCCAGCCCACAATCAAGCATTGTTGAGAGACTTCCTACTCGCATTAGACATGTGGATGATACAGCACTGATTTGCCAACATTGAAACTCTGGTTCCCCGTATGATCACTGAAGTTAAGCAATGTCGAGCCAGGTCAGTATGTAGATAGTTGACTACTTGGGAATACCATGTACTGTAAGCTTGAATGTGCAGGTGGTTTAATGTATAATGGCTCAGAATTAATAATTGAAGAACCAAGTTCCAATTCCATTTGTGTTGTTAACTTCTGTTATATACCATACCAATAAACACTAATGTATATATCCCAGTCCTCATAAATACATTGGACACTATTGTAAGTGAAGGTAATATACTGTATAAGTAGTCCAACACTAACAGTGGTTTACCTACTTCATACTGTTGGCAAGTATTGTATTTTGTTGATGTTATAAAGATTACGATTTCATTTCCAACCTCTGTTTTGCTTATTCCTCATTCAGTAACCCTTCCTAGGTTACAACTTCCTTGCAAATATCCTTGGGAAAAGTTACAAATACACATCTTCTCCCCAGCTATGGATTAATTAGTAAGATTTGTATCACTAAATCATTATCCCCAAAACAAATTTTAAAATATATTTTTGGTTTTAAATAACCTGCAAAGTGTTGGTAAGTCATAGAAAACAAATCAATCAAATGATCTGTCAAACTGAAACTGTCTAAAAAGAACGTAAAAATGCTTGCAAGGAATAGGGTTCATTGATTTGTTTTTTTTTTATGAATTATCAACCTCTTATGGCTTATTTTAAGATATTTCTTTTTGATTTATGTATTTTTGCAAGTGAATATTAACAATCTTTTGACAATAACAATGATTTTTCCAGATACCATAGTTGAGGGAGGAGATGGGCATTTCCTGAAGGTATTTAAAAATGTAACAAACATGACTGGAACTTGAACTTTTTCTCTCTGATTTCTCATTCTGAGCTGCTGTTATACCACCTGCACATCCTGAAAGAAATAGGGACTGGAAAATGATAAAATCATGATAGATGGTGAAACTGTTGCAAGCTGCATCATTTTAGGATAATTTTTGTCCCCGGCAATATTTGATGATATAAAATGAAGAATAGTACTTACCGCAACTGTTTTTGAAATACTGAAGGAAAAGATCTGGGACAGAAAAGCCATGCTACATCAAGTGCAATCTCTACTATACTCTGATCATCACTATAGCAAATGATGACTGTGAAATGTGAGCACTAAGAAAAGAGGACATGCAAAGGCTCTCAGTCTTTGAAAATAACTGCTTCCGAGCCATGGCTGGAGAGAAAAAATATTACAGACAGAATCAAAATGGTTGCCATAAGGAAAAAGTTAGATGTGAAGAGTGACATAATTATCCTGATTAGGAGGATAAATTCATTTGGCCATGGAATCAGGAGAGAAGAAAATAAGCCATAGAAAATGGATCAATCAAGTATTACTTCTTGTACCAGTGAATATCATGCCAGAATTTTTCAGATGCTGTGTCAGCTTGTTGTTTCTTGTCATTTTTTTTTTTTTTAATTGTGAAATATCTGTACGAATAAATGCAAAATTGGAACCCAAATCTCCCACAAATTCTGATGTTTAAATGTTCCAACTCTATTTTATAGTAATTTGGTATTTACTCGACATCCCGCCACCCTGCCCCTAAGAAGTTGCATTGTGACACAAGGTCATTTTAATGTGGGGAGCCTGAGTGCATACAGCCGGGTAAGGAACTGTCGGTTGCGCTGTCCTCGGTGCGAGTAAAGATCCCTCTCTATAGTGCAATGAGAGGGTGCGGCCTTGGGCATCTGTTACCTTAGGGCTGTCCGTCTCTCAGTAAAATTTTCCTCAATTGTGACTCTGTCAAAGGACAGTCACCCCTGAGTGCACTCTGCCCAAAAGCAGAGACACAACTGAGAGATAATAAATAAATGTGTTACAAACCACTCCAAAGAGTGATTTACACACTAGGTATTTACTCTGTCTCCCCACTAAGACGAATTGTGACACAAGATCTTTTTTAAGGTGAGAATCCAAGAGCATACAACCAGACAGGGAACAAAAATTGCCCACCGCCCCCGCAACTGTCAGTTGATAAATAATGTGTTACAAACCCCCTCAAGTGAGGGATTTACACAATTTATTTACTTGACCCCCACCAACTGAGTCAGGTTGTGAGACAAGGTTAGTTTTTAATGTGGGGAGTCAAGTGGAGACACTTGGGTCACTGGTCCTTAGCTGGTCATAGACTGTCCAAGCTAGTCATTGCTGTGATACTACTAGTGCAAGGACGGATCCCTGTGATCAGCAAGTATCAATGTGTATACCACTTGAGAGAGGGATTTACACACAAGGTATTTACTTACTTAGTCTCCTCACTAAGAAATGTTGTGACACAAGGTCTTTTTTTAAGGTGGGGACCCGAGCATGTGCATACAGGCCAGGAACAAAAATTGTCCACAGCCTTTGCAACCGTCAGTTGCACTGGCCACTGTGTAAGCACCGATCCCTCTCTCTGGTACAATGAGAGGGCACGGCCTCAGGCAGCTGTTCCCCAGGGCTGGCCTTCTCTCTGTAAAATTTTTCTTAGTTGTGACTCTATCCACTGACAGCCACCCCTGATTGCACTCTGCCCAAAGACAGACATGCAACTGAGAGATGATAAATAGATGTGTTACAAATTACTTTATAGTAATTTAGAAAAAGCTCAATGTCTGTATTATATGTTATCTACTTCTAGGTAATATCACTCTTCGGGTTTAACTAATTTGCATATTGATTTTAAAAAAAGTATATTTCATTAATTAACTATCCTTCATTACTGTTCTTGTATTTGGAGATTGTTTTGATTTTCATAGAAATAGTTCTGTTTAGGAATATTGTCTTATATAGTGCAGCAAAGTTTTTGAAATTTGCATTTTACTTGGGCTTCAACAAGTTGGCACATATTTGTAAAACTTTCTTTAACTATAACAATCCTGCCCCCACACCTCACCAATTATTTTCTTCTGTCTTTGAATGTCCAGAACCCCTTCAACATTTCATAAATAGTGAACATTAGTCCCATTGAAAAAAAAACTCATTTTTCCTAGAAAAATTACCAGATAGTGAGTGACAGAAGCCTACTTATTTAATATGTTTGCATTTTAGAAACCATTTTGTTAAGTTTTCTTTTGATTCTGATAAAGAAGTACATTTACATCATAAATAATTTTTTTTCCAGAATTTGGTGAAATAGTTAAACAGTGTACTTAAACCAGTGTTTTCCAATATGGGTTCTGTGAGGTAAGTTGTTTTTAATAAAATTTAGTATAAAACAAATTATATTAAAAAGTTTAATTCATGAAAAAAAATATCTTCAACATTTTCAGAATAAGTGGTGTGAAACGTGAGTCGGACTTTTCTAAATAGAGTTACGCAAAGAATAAATATTGCAGCAGACTGGACACTGTAACAGCTATACAAATTCCAATAGTAAGCTAAATTTTCAAACGATAGGATTTGAATGTGAGAACGAAAGTCTACACATAATAGCAATAAATTATCTGTTGCATACTATTTTGTTGATCCCCAAATTCTTGAGAGTCATGTTCCAGGGAGTGTGCCCACAGGCTGCACCTTCCCCTGTGCAATAAAGAGATCCTGAAAACAAATTGCTAGGAGGAACAGAGCACATTTTATTACTAATTGTATGTAAATGAACATAAAGATAAATATTACCAAATTCTTAAGAGTCATGTTTCAAGAAGTGTGCCCACAGGCTGTACCTTCCCCAATGCACTAAAAGGCATCCTGAAAGTGAAATACCAAAGGAACAGGATACTTATTGTTACTAATCCTATGTCAGTGAGTATATAGATAAATATCACAAAATTCTTGTCAAAATAACATTGATAAATTGAACTCACACTCTCAATAAAGATTGGATTGTATGGTGTTCAGAAGGAAATGCTCAATAAACAGTAAGCTGTCAAATACAAAACTACGTGCATATATATATATATATATATATAATAGCAAAATAAATAAAGTCTTATGGAGGTGAGAGTTGAATGCTATCAGAACAAGTGCAACAATTGCATTTATTGATTGAAGAGAATCCCCAGTTAACACTGCAACAACTTCGAGATAAGCACAAGGATGAGTTTCTTGTTGACGTGTCAGAAGTAACAGTCCACATTTATCAACAAGTGCAATTCATTAAACTAAAGACGATCTATGTTCCTATTTCCACAATGAATTCAAACAGTAACAAACAATTGCAATATATAGGACATGTTTCTCAATACATTCACCAATGAACATTGGTTATTTTCATAAAAGAAACAAACAATAACTTTATCTGTCTATATTTCCGAGATGAGGTATTTAACTATTTACACTAATTACATTGTTCGGATTGTTGTCCTCATCTTTATTGCCATATTCACGATGTTTCAACTGTCATATGCACTGGCCTTCTTCATGCATTGCAATTTCATACTTTATCTGTCTATATTGTAACTATTTACACTAATTACATTACATTATTCCAACATCATTTTCATTGCCATATTCACAATGTTTCAGCTGTTGTATGCTCTGGTCTTCTTCATGCATTGGAAGTTCAGTTTGAAATTCCAACGTATATCATCTGAAGAAGGCTGAAGCATACAACGGCCAAAAATTTTGAATATGGTAATAGTGGATAACAGTCTGAATAATATAAATAGCTTAATTTATATACTATTTTTTACCCACTACAAGACCTAAGAGCCACTCAAGGCAGGTTATTGAATGAGTTTGTTGTAATGGTATACTAGGAAGTAGCAAGAGCTGTATTTTATGAGGAAATGTAAGATAGATAACAGTTGACCCTAGACATGAAAGGTTAAGAAAGCCATCATCATGGAAGCATCTTTTGGGATATCTGTTCTACAATGTAACAGTTATGGGAAAGAAGCCGTCTGAGTAGAATTTTCTTTTAACTAACGAAATACAAAGGGAATGAGTATGCGTTGCCTGTGTATGTATAGCATGGTGGGATCCTAGCTGTGAAGGGCTTCAACAAAGAAATGTAGCTCATTTGAATATCTCTTAAGAAAATAGCAATAATTTTGTCTGTGGGAAAAGGGTTGTTGGGTGGAAAATAATTCATCACCCTCAAGGCTGAAAAGTGGGGATTGAGC